CCTCAGCTGGTACAGTGGCACCGTGGCCCAGTTGTGCCTCGTGCTGTGTAAATGTAATTAACACCCAATGCTGCAAGCCACGTTTGCAGGCACAGGTGGAAGAGGTTTGGATTCTCCATAGGAACTTCTCATGTGCCTATTTATGAAAAAAGAAAATAAGGTTACTGGTCACAAAGCGAGGTTGGGGAAATATTTTTGTTTTTTGAAGGACACGTTGGCAATCTGGAAGGGGCACCCCTATAACTGTGGGGTTTGTTGTGCCCCTTGAAAGATGGCCCAGAGTTGGCCGTATCATACCGTGAGCATTCAGTTGTTTGAGACTCACTCTTAAGCAGTATGAAGAGTCTGGCTGTGTTTTGGATATTCTCATTTAAGTCCCTGCTTGGAGGATCATTGTTAGAAATACTGTGCATGGGTAGGGAGAGTAGAGGAGCCGGAGTATTTTTCTTCTTTCTCTTCCCCCTATTTCTACTTTTGCCTGCAGGAAATAAATTGGGAAAAGCTCTTTCACTGACTGAACCTTCTCAAGGCTTATCATTCAGAAACACTTTGCCTTGGGAGACAGGCAAGCACCAATCACTTTTTAACAGACTTTCAGAATAAAATCAAGGGAACTCAAAAAGCTAGGAAGGCATTTATCTTCAGTGTCACAATCTGTCTTTCACTTGACTCTCCTGCACTATCTGTGTGCTGTATCTGTATGGCCTTGTCTGTGATTACTATGGCATTTGTTCATTTCCCTGCCCAACCCCAGACAAAGGATAGATCCCATGCAGTTCTTCTCAGTCCCCTGTGGTACCTGTATTATCCCATCTTTATCCAGTGATCTATAGCCAGAGATCATCTTGTGTTCCTCTCCCTGGCTGGTTTAGTAGTTTGTTTGTTCCTGTGGTTTGGAGCCTTTCTACAGCTACCCTGTGACTTGAGTGCACATATCAACATTGACGGTGCTTGTTTGTATTGCAACATATGTAGACATTTCATATGTTTATACAGAATCATGGAATGGCCTGGGTTGGAAGGGACCTCACCTTGTTCCAACCCCCCTGCCATGGACAGGGACACCTTCCACAAGACCAGGGTGCTGAGAGCCCCATCCAACCTGACCTGGAACACTTCAGGAATGGGGAGTCCACAACCTCTCTGGGCAACCTGTGCCAGGGCTTCACCACCCTCATAGTAAGGAATTTTTTTCCTAATACCTGATCTAAACCTACTTTCAGTTTGAAGCCATTCCCCCTTGTCCTGTCACTATCTCTTGTAAATAGTCTCTCTTCATAATAGGGAACATCACATTTATAACTCAAATATTCAAAGGAAATATTTAACAGCAGCACGGTGCCCATCTCAGTCGGTGTGTTTATGTCTTCTCTGGGTTGTCACTGTGCCTGTGTGTCCCACAGTTCATGCAGGTCACTTAGAAAGACAGAACCACTTAAACAGGAGTTAAACATAATGGTTTCTGGTATTATCCAGCCCCTGATATTATCCAGCCATGGAATAATGTGCCAAGGGCCTTCCTGAGCCTTCACAGGGTGGTTTTGCTGGTGCCAAATCCCTGTGGAGCTTGTGAAGCCCAGTGGACTGTTGCTGTTTGAATTCAAACTTGTTTAGATTAAAAACATTCACAGCAGTTCTTAAAACTGGGAGGAGTTCCATTTGGGTCATTAATCCGCCTTTATTCTCCTGGCTTAATTCAAGTTCTGTCCCTCAAAAGTCACATTTTAAACTTTGGGGCAGAATGGTCCCAGTTAGAACCATTCGTTTGTCAGTTTTTCGTTTCAGAAATGTGTGTTGGGGTCATTTTTTCAGCTCTCTCACACCTACTGTTTGTACTTGCTGAGAGCTTATAAAATGGTTTGTTGCTGTTAGCAAAGATGATACCCTATAAAATGAAGTCATGGGAAGTACTAAATGCAAAGTCTGGAGTCTTCAGGCATGCTGTAATTTCCTTTTAAACTTAGATGCCTGATTGTAAAGGGTCTTATCACTGCTGTTCAGCTACTTATTTCTTGGAAGGAACGTGTCTTTCTTGGTAAGGAATGATTTGGTTTTCTTCCACCTCAAGTCAGGAACAAGCTCTTAATTAAAACAGAATTATAGCCTGAAGTATTTCTAAGAAACCAGGGTAATGTATTTGGCTGAGTCTTTGCAGATTTCAAATTTTTTAGGGGTTTTTCACTTTAGGGAGTTACCAACAGTCCAGCTGTAGCTTTCCTGATGTTCTCGGGTGTTTCTCTGCTGAAGTTGAAGGAGGGTGAACTGGTTGAATTGTGATTTTTTTGACAATCAATTACAGCTTATCCCTCCCAGTTTAATTGAAAGTAGGTCTTGTTTGGATGCTAACTTTAAGGGCATTAAAACAGGGCATATTCCAAAAATAACTTCTGGAAATAGGGCTTGGATCTCTGGGTATGTACAGTGTAAGGCCTGACTTGACGTATAATGTTGCTAATATTTTATACTCCGTTGGCAGGTAGGAATGCTTCCTGATTGTCCCAGTGACAGTTAGAAAGGATTATTTTATGTAAATAACCTTTTGTCTTTTTTTATTCTATTAATGAAGAAATGAAGACAAACGCACATTCTTTTGTCTTGATAACTTCCAAGTTGTTTATTAAAAAGAAATAAATTATTTGCAACAGCCTTCAGAAGGACGTAACCACTTCTCATCTACGTTTTTCCTTAGTAGGGCAAGCACATGTGCAGGCAAATGCCTGCACATGCAGACGTGTATGTCTCCAGAGAAGTCACCCTCTTTTCAGATGACACAGTTCACAGCTTGAAAAAAAAAGAATTACAGTGCTCACATAATGTTGTGGATAAAGCACATGAATTACGGCTGTTGATGTGCAGAGAGCCTGTGTCCAGATGTCCTTGAAATAAAGCTTAGGGCTTTGAGGAACAAAGAGCTCCAGAGGGGGAGGAGGAGACTAATTACTGTTCTGCCTCTAAACAAATACTGCCAAAGCTGCCTGGCCTCAGTCTAGCCTGGGCTGTTAATTCTTCCATCTTTTGCTAAGAAATCTGATGGAAGGAAAAACACTCTTCCTCTTTTGTGTGTCCTTGTGGAACATGGGACATCAGCATGACAGAGTTGCTGCTTTCTGTTGTGACAGTAGAGGTTTGGATGCCTCCAGATCCCATTGTTTTGTGGAGGTCGAGCCTCCATCCCTGCAGGAGGCTCAGTGGGATTGTGTCCTACCCATGGACCAAGTGTCCCCAGAGCTGCTGGAGTGTCATTCCCTGGAGTGGGGTGGCACAACCACAGGTTACACATGTAGCAATGGAGGGCTGTGGTGGAGAAGAGGGGACCATTGTAGAGATCGTACAACGAGGGGTGCAGTGGGATACTGTGCGTGGAGCTGTGCCTTTGGTTATCGTGGTTAGCTTCTGTCCATGGACAGGGACACGCAGGAAGGACTGGGCCGCCTGGAATGGCCATAGTTCAACTTGAATTTCCAGCCCTGCTTCGAGGCAGCGATGTGATACCCCCAGGCTGGGGTGGTGGATCAGCAGCCGTGGGTGATGCCTCCCCCTGCTCCCTGCGGAAGGGGCTCTGTTTCTGGCCCTTCAGCCTCAGGCAGCCCCTCTCCCTGCAGATTCCCTTTCCTCCAGGCGCTTCCACTTCAGTGCTCGGGAATAGCCCCGCGGTCGCAAGATGGCGGCGGAGGGGCGGCCGCGAAATGGCGGCCGCGGCGCCGCCTGAGGGCGGGAGCCGCGCGGGTGCTGCTGCCCCCTGTCCGCGCCCCGGGGCACGGCGGGGACGGGCCCGGGGCTCACACATTCCATTACACGAGTTTGTTTTATCTGAGAGTGGAAGGTGTCTTGTCGTGGTGTGAATTAGCCCTATCTGCATATGGTGGTCCCCGGGAATAGTAGCCGGGTCTAGAGATCTGTCTCCATAGCGCGCATTAATCCCTATGGCTTTGTATGTAATTGTACACGTGCTCGTGGGTTTTTTCTTTTTTTTTTTTATTTCTTCATTTTTTATTATTTTTTCCTTGAATCCTGAAATCTGAGCAAAGCCTTTGATGTACCTTGCTACTTTTGTACAGAAGTAAAAGAAAAATAAAAGTCTTGTTTTCCCTCTGCAAAGTTTTCTTGACTCTTTTTTCATAATATTTAATTTAAGTAAGCTCTTAAATATGACAAAAGCATCCAGCTGCCAGTGAAGCGCTGACTGGGAAAGGGGGGATGCTCCTAATTCTAGAAGATTGTAGATTATCACCACACTGCATTTTTGTTTGTGATAGAGGGATTTGAATGCTGCCTTGCATGTCTAATATGGTATACTGAGTTTTCAGTTTTCTTTATTGGATTTTAAATGAAAAAATAGATTCTGAAGTGATTGGGCAAAGGTATTGGAATATTTTGCCCACATAAAATAGTTTGGCCTCTCATTGGTTTGTTGACAAGCCTTTATTTAAGAGAATATTCTGTGTGTTAACCCATTTTAATGTAAAGATTAAAAAAAAAAGGAGGGAAATGCAACTTGATGTTCTACTCTCCCATTATTGGATATCAGATTTTTTTTTAACTACTGGCTATACTAGGATGCAGTGGAGAGCCATGCTGGATCAAGTGCTTATCTTTAATACAGCAGGATGGTCTCCAGATGCTCCAGCTCCCAAAATAACCTTGCTCTTGCTCGCCCTAAGACAGCCAGATCCTCAGAGGACTACCTGTGCTGCTGGTATTACTAATGCTTTTCTCTGTGGTACCACTGCTGTTTTTATTCTGTTGATGAGCTGGAGACCCTGGACAAGGATTTCTGGGGCTGCATTCTCACCCCTGTGTTCACTGTCAGTCCTGGGAAGGAATTGCCGCTGCTGCAAAATGCCATTGCAGGGTGTCTGTTCAGGACAGCGTTCCCACTTAACATTTAGGCTCTTCCAAGCCTGTTGTTGTGGCTTGGACATGTCTCAGGTTTGCTCGATGCATATTTCAAGGCTGCGACAGTACAGTTAAAATGTAATCTCTTCTTTCTCTACCATTAGTCACTCAGCATCCGAAGAAGCCTCTGGCTCTGACTCTGCAAGCCAGTCTGAAAGCGAGCAGGGCAGCGAATCAAACAGCAGCTCGGAGTCCTCTGAGAGTCAGTCTGAATCCGAAAGTGAATCAACGGGTTCCAAATCCCAGCAGACCCCTCCTGAAACCAAAGAAAAACCAGCCTCTAAGAAGGAAAGGATAGCAGATGTTAAAAAGGTATTGCCCCTGCTGCTCTGCACAGGCACGTTATTGCCGTACTTGCCATGGAAGGTCAGATGGCAGGACCCCAACAAAGCTGTCTCCAGCTTCCCAGCCACTTTGCACATGGACCAAACAGCCTCTGGCCTCCAGTGTCCCCAGGTCACTCTCTGGTTGCTTGGTCTGTGTGCTGGAGCCCTGCTGATGTCACCCTTGTGAGCAGGAGCTGGTGTGTTTGTGGAACAACTCTTTGGGCACCAGGTAGACAGTGATGGGGCTGACTGGTGAATGAGAGGCAGGCGCCTGTCATCAACACGTGATCCTGTCATTTCATCCTCTCCCTCTGTCTTTCGACTCTTGTCTCCCCTCTCCCTCAGAAGCAGTGGAGGAGGCTTGTCTAGTGTTTGGTCCACTTTTTTTTTACATCACTGTCTTCCTCTGAAAAAAATATAGAAAAAAAAAGGAGGAATAAAAAAGCTATTTAACTTCTGTTGGTTAATATGTCCAGAACAGTGGGTTTTTGTTGTTGTTGTTGTTGTGGGTTTTTTTTCCTTTTTTTTTTTTTTCAGCTTCCCAGCTACCCCCTTCAGATAGCCAGGTTTTCCTTCCACTTGCTGCCCAGGAGGAAATGAGATTTTTGGTGTTGATGCACCTGGTGTCCCTCTGCATCTCCCAGTGCAGAAACTGGTACCTGCTTTGCCTGAGGGGTAGAGGCACCTGAGTAACATGGTTGTAGTGTGAGGTGAGAAAGAGGAGCCCAAATACCCATTTGGAGACAGGAACTCAGTGAACTGAGTTCAGTTGGAAGGAAGAAAATCAGGTTAGGTCAGTTTGTTTATTTGTTTGGGGTGTATAACCATCCAGTTGTCCTTAACTGTGGCTTGCACTGCACACAGGTTGCTTCTGGAGAAAGTTGCTATATGTGTAAAGACAGAAGGAAGGGCAGTGCTTCCAGCCTGTGCTCCCCATGTACCTGCCAGGGAGAAGTGAAGGATTTTGTTACCAGTTTCTCTCTCTCACAAATCTCCAGGCTGCTGGTTCAGGTCATGTCTAAACCCTCCAGTGTTAGGACTGGTAAGGGAGGATGCATTTCTAAGGCAGTTGTGGTAACACAATATTAAAATTTCTGGTTTACTGTTGATAAGTGGGGACCAAAGGAACTTTTCTCCTCCTTTGAGGGCTTCTAAGAGCATGTCCCTAATAATAAATGTTAACATTATCCTACGAGGAAGCACATCCATACGTAGGGTGATAATTAGCATGAAACATGAAAAGGTCAGGGCAGCCTCTAATAAGAAAGCCTCTCCCTTCCTAATTTCTCTGTTAATGGATGTTTTCCTTAGCTAGGCCTAACCTAGGCATGTTGATACCTGTTCCTTTTGAATAACCAATGCAATTAATTATTATATTACTGTTTATTTGATGTTTGTGTAGATACACCCATGAAGGTGAGGTTAATTTGTGTTAGGTGCTATTCAGATTTGTCATGGGAGTTGATCCCATATTCAAAACCCATGTCATGTAATAGGTGGAAAGATAAGTTCTTCAAATGGTTTTGGGAGTATTTTGATTTGTTCTTTCATGTGAATTTATCTCTGTACTTGCATGCCCAGCAGGCACACACCTTCACAGTCTGTCCATTATCCCATTGCTCCTTTAGCAGAGGCAGGGAAAAATTGCTGGGCTGCAGCCTTGTGTGCATCATGCTCTTAATCCCAATCACTGCTGCATCTGGCAGTGTATTTTGATTTCCTTTTCCTGCCAGTGGCTTGCAGAGATATTTGAGGACTGGAGGGAGAGAGAATAAGAAGGAGAATAAATAGATTTAGAAAACTAATAGGATGAGCTCTGCTGAGGGAGAGAGAAATTGCTGTTGTAGGTGTTTGAGGGATATGTGGGGGTTTGTATCTGCCCTGTAGTTCTTCTAATGTCCTGTGTCACCAGCACAGCTCTGCATTCACGCCCCTTAGGGCATCCATTCTTATCTCCCCCTTCTTTTCCTGTCCATCCACAAGAACAATTGCATGCTGCTATACAGGGTGTATTAAACTGGTGAGAGCCTCATTACAGCACATAGAGCACAACTATTCCCAGCAGTCACCTCTCCACATCCACGTGTCCTGTGCTGCCAAACCATTTTGTCATCAGTGCGTTCAGGAGAGGAACCAGCAGCTGCCACTTCGCCTTGACAAAGTACAGGGTGCCCTGCTCAGTTTGCCATCCAGGCTGGGCCACAGAGTTCACTTTTGAGGTTGCTACTGGCAATTTCTCTGGGCAGCTGATGGGGTTTTCCTTCTGGAAAGGAACTGTGATTGGAATCTGTTAGCAGAGAATTGTCCTGTTGAGTTGGAAGGTCCATTCATTCTATGTCCCTCCTTACCTTTGGCACTGTTGCTGCAGGGGGCTGGCTACCTCAACACTCTGTCCTTCAGCCTCAGTGTGCTGGAGTGGTTTGTACCTTGGTGGAAACATGGACCACTGTAAAGATAGCACTGAGATAAAACATGCTGCTTTAGAGTCTTGCCAAATACCCCAAAATAATCATAATCTTTTTCAGCCAGTTTTTAAAGTGTCCGTCTACTGGTTGCTAATGGTTTTATGTTCATTTTTTTAAAACACCATCAAACTTCTCAGAAATGTCAGAAATAATTGGGGTGAAGCAGGCCTTCTGATGGTCTGTTTATTTTGCAGATGTGGGAAGAATATCCTGATGTTTATGGGGTTAGGAGGTCAAACCGAAGCAGACAAGAACCGTCACGATTTAATATAAAAGATGAGGTAAGGAAAAAAAAAAGGATGAGGGATTACTGAACATATAAAACCAACTAAACCCAAAGAGTGAAGGGAGGTCTCGTCTGCATTGCTTTGTACACTCTGAGTCCTAATTTGGTATTTGACTGTTGGAGCTCACAGTTGAGGTCCCAGTCCTGCAGCTGCATCCTCTTGGCCTGAGACCTCTGGAGTCAGCGGGACACTGTGTGGGCTGAGATCTGCATGCACTGATCTGATTGCTGCAACGGGGCGTAATGCAAGTCATGCTCTGCTGTAGGAACACCCTGGAGAGAATGAGTCTGCGTAATAAAAAAAACAGAACAAAACCAAAACACAACACGAATCCAACCAGGAATAAAGGAAAGTTCCCAGAAACACCTCAGAGCAACAAAACAGTCATTGTTGCCCATACTGGAATGGATCCCACTAATAAATGCATTTGCGTGTCTGCAGCTTTATGAGCCATCACTTTTCTTTGATTGAATACTGGGGAGTATTTTGTGCTTCAGCTGGAGGTGACAGTGGTCAGAGCCTGGCAGCCAAACCTCCTAATCGTTCCTTTTTTAGAACATTGTTTTTTTCTTAAGATGTAGGAATTAGCTGCCACCTTCATTTGCATCTAACAGGGTTTGTACATGGAGTGCTGAATCTGCAGGTCTTCAGGAAGGTCAAGTTGTAGAAGAGGGGAAAGGAAATCAGAAAGAGGCTTCCATGGAAAGCTTGAGGCTTAGGGCTAGGAATCTGAAGATAAGTGGGAGACTTTCAGCAGAGCAGGAGCCAAGTGGTACTCTGTGACTCCGGCTGTTTGTGCTTCGCCACCAAACCGTGCATTTGAATTCTTGAGGGGTCTGAGTCGCACGGCAAATGCAGGTCTCGATCTCCTTGCTCTGGTGTGTTATTGTTGAGCCTTGCGGCACCTCCAGTGCCACCACCTGCCCCCCCAGACTCCTGTGCTGGACGTCCCACAGAGCAGCAGGTTAGGAAGGGGCTTGGGACACACCATTGACGTAGCTTTTGTTTTCCTTTTCAAGTTCGGCAAAGGCCAGGCTCGCCTGCACTGTGCCGGCGACGTCACACCCACCTCAGACCTCCGCTGCACACCCCACTGCCCTCTTAGGGGCTCAGGTAAGTCCCATCTTTGTTTGTTTTACAATATTACGTGGTTTTGCAAATGTTGTTTTCTTTTTCGATATCTTTATTTCCTACTATTTAAGGTACGATAAAGTTAAAAAAAAAATAAATATGAGATGCAAAAACTTTGCTATACCACAAAATATTGTAAAAAACAAAAAAAAACACCCACTCCTCCAAATGACCCCGCTGCAACTTCTGTGACACAGAAAGCCAAAAGTAACAAAATTGGATCACTCCCTTCCCCTCTCTCTCCCCAAAGCAACACTGAGTCGTCCTCGTAGGGCAGCTCCCATCTGCAGCAGAGTCCGATGGAGGGTGTGACGTGTCAGGAGCACAGTGCTGGGGCCTCGCAGGGAGCAGGAGGACATGGAAAGTCTTGCTTTTGGAAGACCTAAACACCAAGAGGGTGGAAATAATGTAGCTCAAGCCTGCGTGGTGCTGAGCACTCCTTGCTGCTGCTGGACCCGGCAGAAACCCAAGGCACTTGACACCTCTCAAGGTTGCTTTTTACCTTTGCAGGGTTAATCCTGTCGCCAGTGACCTGCTCCTGTCTCTTGCTGCTTGGGACTTCCAGCACAGTGTCTGGGAGCTTGTAATTGCCTTCTTCCCTAATGCTTCTCTGCAGATTAGCAAAGAGCATCGCCCAGGCAGCGTGGCAGGCTCAGAGACCAGAGCAAGGATGAGGCATCACAGCTCCCCACGTGCTGCCCCGTGACTCACCTGCACGAGGGAGATGGCGCGTAGGAGGAGCTGGTTCAGGTTTTGGGGCACTGCTCAATCACTGTGTCCTCCGAGAGCAGCACTTTGAGTAGGTTATTTGTGTGTTAGAAATGGTTGCCTTCTGGGGATTTCTGGGCAGATTGTGTAGGTGCCCGAGGTGTGATCAGAGAGGGTGATAACTCGTGATCAATACCCAGGCGTGGGCTGAGTTATTGGGAAGCAAAAGTGCAGCTGTGCATGAGAGCACAGAGCTGCTCAGAAGACTAGAGCTGTCTCCAGGAACAAGAGCATGTGTGAGTTTTTTAGTAAAAACACTACTTCCTCGGGCATTTTCTTTGCAGTTAATAAATCAGCTTCAGGTTTCAGCCAGAGGATGTGAGGCGTGCAAAGCCAGGTGCCTTTCAGAGTATTCAAACTGAAAGGGGAAATTTAATTTAGATATAAGGAACAAATTCTTTGCTGTGAGGGTGGTAAGGCCCTGGCACAGGTTGCCCAGAGATGCTGTGGATGCCCCATTGCTGTAAGTGTTCAAGGCCAGACTGAACAGGGCTCTGAGCAACCTGGTCTAGTGAAAGGTCCCTGCCCATGGCAGGGTGGTTGGAATGAGATGGTCTGTAAGGTCTCATCCAACCCAAACCGTTTTATAATTCCGTCATTCTGGGGCAGTCAAGAAATAAATGTGCCCAAAACAGACATGATCTTTTTACTTTAAAAAGGGTGGTTTCAGATTGAAGTTAGTAATAAATGTCACAGTGCATCTTTTCTGTGAGAGAGAGAGGCCACAAGACACGCACCGGAGCATTCTGAAAATACAACTGGTTTTATTATTGGAAAAAAAAATCTGCTCATTTGCATTTTGGTCAATGCTTTGCCTCGTGTATTTGCTGAAAGTTCAAACACTATTGTTGGTCTCACTAGGAAAGAGAAGTTCAGCAGACGTAAGACTAACCTGGTGAACTGAGGTTCTCCAGCTTTTGTGGAGCACTAGAGCATGACCACTGTTAAGCCTGAAATGAGCAAATTCTCACTTTGACTGTAGTCTGAAATATTTCTTGCCTCTGTTTAAGCAAGTCTTTATCTCTCCTAGTAGGCATCGTGAGCTCCAGAGGCTCACCTGGGCCTCCTTTCCAGTGGTCTGGAGACTCCATTTCTCATGCCCTGTGCTAGTAATGACACTTACGGACCATCTGAAAGAACAGAACTTTAAAACTGCTGCTGTGTTGCTCTACTTGGTGCTACTGCATATGCAGCATCATTATGTTTGTACAGTGTTGCTCCATGGCAAAACGCAGCCTAATTAATGTAGTAAAATCATATGCACTTTATGTGTTGGGACAGAGAATTAATTAGATGTGAAGAGTCAGTGACGCATAGAGAGGGAAGGCTGATCCCTTCAGCTGGAGGTGGGGAAAACAAATTGTTTTGTTTTCCACTTCCTAGTCCAGTTGGAAGTAGTGGTGCAGGAATAAGTTGGGCACATCTGTAGTGTTTGGTTGGGAAGGGGAGAACAAGGGAAGACAAGTCATCTTTCCCTTTGGCTGTGGCGGCAGCACCCAGAGGGGCAGCTGGAGCCCAGCGCTGGCGCTCAGGCTCTGAGGGCGAGCAGTGTGCCCTGGCATCTCCTGCTGGGCTGACAAAAATCCCACTGAGGACTGGGGATGGACTTCGCTGGCTTAGCTTGTATCATTCAGGGAGGTGACGTTATTAAAATTCAAGTTGCATGTGATTTCCCAACCAGTCCGCTTCCTGATGGTGGTGTGTGGCAGCTGGAGTGCAGGTGGGACCTCAGGTGCACACTCCGGACCTGGCATTCCCCCAGCTCTCTGGTTTGCATCTGCACTTCCTTAATCAAAGAGTTTGCTTCCAGGAGACAGGGTTGGTGGTAAGGGAGCAGGGAGGAGAGGCTGAGGAGCTACAGGCACAGTGTTTCCTGGCACTCTCTACTGGGACAGGGAGGATGTGATGTGGGAGCACAAGTCAGGCAGATGACTCAGGCTGGGGACTGGCTGTGTCAGAGGAGATATTGCTGGGCTTGACACACATCCAAAACAGACAACGGTGTTTTTGAAAAATGTAACTGAAGGCAGTTGAGCTGCAGTCACAAGTTAAATTTTTCAAGGAGGAAGAGAGGAGGAAAAGACGAGTCATTAAGAGATTGTCATCAGCTTTGTAGAGACAGTGACAGAGCAGGGGGAGAGTCCAGGCATTAGGAAGATGCACACTAGAAGCTTGAAAAACGGGATTTTGTCAAAGAAGTGGAGTTAGTTTCAAAGAACTGAAGGCTGTATTTGGTTTTCTCCAAATGTGATCTTCTCTGACACAGAGCAGGAGAGAAATCCACCTCTCTTTGCCTCTGGCTTGCCAAAGGACAGAAAAAAGTAAACGTGCGCTGAGGGACAGATTCTCAAAAATCCTGCCAAATTGGAATGGCAAAGCTTCAGAAAGCAGACAAGAGATTGAAAGAGAAAAATAGGAAACTGAGGACTTTTGCTTGCCAAAACTGAAATCTGTGGAATGCTTGGCTGGTGTTGTAAGGGTAGGTAGGGCTCTCCGTGGTGTTTGCCAGTCACTTGCTTCCTGGATGCTTCGTAAATGAGACAGGGATTTCACACAGGGCTGTGAAACAGGTGGATCAACTCGTGTTTATAGTGAGATATTGGGGCAAAAGGTGGTGTTGTGTCACGTGCAAATCTGACACCAAACCACAGTGAAATGCAGAGAAACTCTTGGTCTAAGGTGGCATCCAGTGTTTCAGTGTATTTTAATGGATGCACTGTGCAAGTGAGAGGGAAATTTCTGTTGGTAGAAGGAAAGCTGGAAAATGGAAATAAAGGGTGCAGAAAGGGAACAAAGGGGTGAGCCATGGCTCTCCAGAACCTCCACTTTTTCATGTTGCAGATCATACTGTTTCACAAAATCCTTGTGTGAACAGCTCTCAGCTGAAGCTGTGTGAGGGTGTCAGGGGATGCAAACTGAGGTACTCGTGGTGATGGACAGACAGTACCTAGAGCCGAAGATGAATACTGCAGCAAAAAGCAGTTTGAAGTGGAAGATTTCCAGTGTGCGGAGAGAGCAGCCTTGGAGGCTACTTCTGTCATCTTAATACTCATTTAGAAATCTCATATGGGTTTCTTCAGTTTTGTCCCTAGCTATTTGTGTTTTCTGGGGCAAGTGTGGTGATCAGTTTTCATGGTTGACTAGTTTTTACGAAAATGGGGTTGTGTACAACCAGCCTAAAGATTTTTTTTTTCAGCTATCTTGGTCTGTAGGAGTTAATGATGCCCATTTAAAATAGTACAGCAAGTAGTTAGAATAGCTGTAGATATATTTAGCCAGAGAGAGTCTCACTGGTGAGACTGCAGGATTAGGAGGAGGGAAAGCAGCAGGACGTGGCTCTGACCCATTCAGGTCCTCAGTGACTTTGGCTGTGGGAGAAAAAACCAACAGCAAAGCAAGGACACTCTTGTGATGAGAATGTTGTCTTTTTATGAGAATTTCCTTCCTTCTAGAAATCATAATCAATTTCTAGATCATAATTCATTTGGTGGACAGATTCACCCTGTGTGTTTGTAATCCATGGGCTGTTGCACACACTGCACAGCCCCGTTGCTCAAAAGCACCTCCAGCCCTGCAGGGAAAGGGCCTGGGCTCAGCCCACGTGCACATGTTTCAGTTGCATCCTTGAGGAGTCAGTCCAGAGTGAAGCCTACAACCTGATTTTCTTTCTTTTCAATTAAAGGCAAGTAGCGAATCTGAAAATGAGAGCCCAAAAAGAAGACGTCAGAAGCAGTTGAAAAGAAAGTAAGTTTTCTAGGGAAAGGGTTTTGAATGGTGGTGCTTTGGTTTATTTTTCAGAACAGCAGCGCACAGGATTGCTTGCTGGGAGTTGTCAACATGGCGAACTTGTAAAATAAATAATTTTAATATTTCCAGTAATAACACTTTGGATTACTAAAATTCAAGTATGAAAATGGATCTACAGACGGATGCAATTTCCCAACTTTTGTTTGTATTTTCCCACTATGCCTGTAATGGAATCTGAACAAGTCAGGTTCACTTTCTGTTGTCAGTCTTTCACTTCTCCATCAGCTTACTGATTCTCTCTCCTTCAGAGATACTTAAAATAATTTAATCCTTTCTCCTCCCACCTTTTAGATTATCTGAGAATAAAATACCAAATTATTATCCTCTCCTATCTTTTAAAACAAAATAAATTCCATAAAGAATGTTTTAGGTGTCTGAGCACCATATCTGAGTTCACTTACAGTCATATTTTACTGCCTTTTCCCATCTAATAAGTATCTTTTAGTTTTTCCAAACACTAAAGGGAAGCTCTGAGCTACCCTCAGAGAACATGCTTCCTTCCACTAGTGCTACAGCATGATTTGGCTTCACACTTGGAAACTTTAATCCCCTGAATTTAGATGGCAGGAGACTTCTTGCTCCATTTTCTGGGCTCAGAGGAGCTCATGGAACTGTGAATGTTGTGGCTCATACTCCATAAGCGATAGTGAGCACTTCAGATCTTTCCAGCCCATTTCAGAAATGCAGAAGTAGAGAAAACAAATCAATCAATTGAAGCCCTTGCCCACCCAGGTGACAGCAGTACAGCTCTGCCACTAGCACATTGTATGTGGTAAGAGCTGCTCTCACTCAAGAGATCAAGGCAATTCTACCACTTTGTGAATCAAAACACAGGTGCCTAAGACCTCTTAAAAGCAGAGAATTGCACCATCACACCCCCCCTGCATTGCACTGAACAGCCGAGGGTGCAGCCTGGAACTTTCTCTTGTAGTTATGGCCTTGATGGCTTGGATGTCTGTTCAGCCAAGTATTTGTGTAGAAATATCAGTGCCCTTCATGACCTACATTTCTGACTGTAGAATTAAATGGAAAAGAGAGGTCTCTGCTGGAGAGGAGGATGAAGATGGAGGGGAGCAAGGCACCAGTGGAGAGAGTGAGCCTGAACCGAAGAAAATTAAAGCAAGAAGACCTGTCCAAAGGAGGTAAGGACTGTTTGGTTCAGTCTCTTTTCCTGCCTGTGCTGGGTGGAGAGAAAATGTCTATTTGTCACTAAAGAGTGTGGCTTTTTTCCTGTAATATTACCCTGGTTTTCGACCTAGTAAACCTAGGGCTATTTACTTCCTCATCACCCCATCTAGTGCTCCAGTGAGTGACACAGTGGTTTCCATGATAGTTAGAGCAGACTAAAGCCCTTAGGAGTCTAATATTTGAGATTCATGCATTCTAAAAGACTTACTAAAGCAGATGTTTACATAAACCATGCTGTATTATGGCTTTATTAATTCTTATTTTAGAACAGTGGCCAAAACTGGTGTTAAAAAGCCCCACAAAGTCCAGCGTGGGAAGAGAAAGAAACCAGACTCATCTGAAGATGACGATGATGACGAAGATGATGAGACCCCCAAGAGACAAACTCGACGAAGAGCAGCCAAAAATGTCAGGTATGAAGAAGTGTGGGGTTGCTCAGTGATGAGAGCTGGGTGGGGAGGAGGGAGCACTGGGGGACTCTTGACTGCCTGAGTGATCCTGCAGAGACCCTGCTCTGCCCTGCACATTCCTGTGGCTGAGGTGTGGTTATTTTGACAGGTTCATGCTGTGAACATCTGCCTTTGCCTTGTTTTGCCATCTGTAAAGGAGGGAGTATTTACCAATTCCTCTTAGAGAAATGTGAGGGGGTTTGTGTAATGTTTCTAAAGAAGCTTCAGATGAGATTAATAATTGCAAATAATAGTTGAAAATGAGCAAAAGGGAGCAGCTGTCCTGGATTGGAGCAATTATCTGAGAGTGGCTGATGGGTTATGCCTTAGGACAGAGTGTTCAGGCACGGTGGAGGTAAAGCTTTGTCCATTCCCCAATATGCCTTCTTACCTTTCAGCACTCTTAGTAAGGGAGTTGCAAAGAACCACTCAAATAATATTTTGTTGTGGTTAAACATTCATCAAAGATAAGAAGTGTAGTTCCTAGAGCAGTATAGGCACCCATGCAAGCTTTTGATGCTCTGAAACCTCTGTTTTTAAAAAATAATCTTTCCCTGGATAGTGGAGACTTTCTCTGTTGATAGCCTTTCTTCTGCTGCAGCAACTGTTCCACCTCCTTATGGAGCATCTGATGTTAGCCATGGTCAGAAAAACTTACCTGGACAAGATATAGGATTAGTCTGATAAAGTGTAGCTATCTGGGTGTCTTGGGGAAAAATACTGAGTAGATGACTTAAGACACGTGTGTGCTGAACATTCACTGAACCCTGGGATAAATGGTGGAGAAGGTGCTCCACAGTCTGTGCTGTTCTGTGTGTTTGTGGACTGGGAGGAGTCGGGGGTTTTAAATCAGTTTGGTTTTGTTCTTATTCAGTTACAAAGAAGATGATGATTTTGAGACAGATTCTGATGACCTGATAGAGATGACTGGGGAAGGAGCTGATGAACAGCAAGACAACAGTGAAACTATTGAGAAAGTCTTGGACATCAGGCTTGGAAAAAAAGGAGGTGCGTAGTTCTGGAAAAAGCCTTTATTTCTGATTGTGCACTCATAGTTTCTCTTGAGCTGGTGCAATGCTTTTGGGACTTCAGAGGGGGACCAAGGATTATTTCAGTGCTTTTGACCCTTTCCTCTGTGCCTCTTATTTATGTCTTGTAGCAACTTTGGTAACATGTAGTATTGAAAAACCTAGAATCTCTAGTTTATGTGTTCAGCAGCTTTCATTTAGCCTGCACACATTTTAAAGATGCAGTCATTGTTCTGCAATTCCTGCTTTTCTCTTCTTTGAAATATAAAATAGATCTTCCAGTGGAGTCAGTTTTCATAGCCCCATTGACAAAGCCATAATGAAAATAAAGCCGATGTTTTGTTCTCAAAGCCCTTACAGAAGTGTTTTTGTAAAACTGAATGGTTGTGAACTTTTCAAGAGACCTTTGATTATACTTAAAGAAAAGGTACTTACGAGAGAGAGAGTTTAAAAGATTCTGTTATATGGAAAACTTTTGTGTTCCTGCCTTATAGGATTGCAGAATCTGTAGGATAGTCTTTGTACTTCCACAAAAGATGTATTAGAAGAGTAGCTTTCTGCTCTAATGCAGTTGAAGTCCAGTGGTTGATAAGGAAGGTACTGACTGCAGCCTGATTTCTCTTGCAGCCATTGGTGCTTCCACCACCGTTTATGCGACCGAAGCCAACGGCAACCCCAGCGCGGACTTCGATCCTGAAAAGGATGAGGGGGAAGTTCAGTACCTGATCAAATGGAAAGGCTGGTCATACATCCACAGCACCTGGGAGAGCGAAGAGTCCTTGCAGCAGCAGAAAGTGAAGGGCCTGAAAAAGCTAGAAAACTTCAAGAAAAAAGAGGAGGAGATCAAGCAATGGTAGGCTTCACTCAACCAGTGATTTGGCCTCGGGCAAGTCATCTTTAGCCAGAGGTTTGCAGAGTCGAGACTGAAAACATTTGATTTCTTCTTGCAAAGTGTGTTTCATGTGCACAAAACTCTGGTCTCTCTTAACCCTCTTGAGGAACATCCCCCCTCGTAGAGATGATACCTGTGGTGTTGATGTCTGTGAAATGGAGAGGAAGAGGCATGAAACCTACACTGTTGCCACTTCCCAGGCTTAAGAATTGGGGTAGCTGACAACAAGTAAATGTTGCACAAATTCGCCTGGCCCAAGAGGTGCTGTGAGGCCTTGCAGCCTTATTAACTCTTGTTAATTGTGGGCTTGTCTGTGTGCAAGTTTTTGCATCAGTTTATGTCCAGCTGCCCCAGGAACTATAAGGGGAGCTAAGGTGTATTTCCAAAGTGCTAAAGCTGGAGTAGCAGCTTCCACCTCTCTCTGATTCAGGTTTTGAGACTGACTTGTGCATCAGAATAAGGCATCATTTAACAGGTAGACAGTCTGAACATCTGTGACATTTGCTTCCAGTAAAGATTTATAATTATGGGAAATTTAAGAAACATGTCATATAAGCAGTAGTCTGCTCCGGTGGCTTGTCTGAATGACAACCATATAGGAAAGTAGATCTTCTATATATGACATCCACAAGCATTATGACAGAAGCATTATAGCGTTTTTTTGTTTGGATTTTTTTGCATCTAGGCTGGGCAAAGTATCACCTGAAGATGTGGAATATTTCAACTGCCAACAAGAGCTGGCTTCAGAGCTGAACAAACAGTATCAAATAGTGGAGAGAGTAATTGGTAAGTGAAGCCAATGCTTTTGTAAAGGCATGAAGTAAGATTGGGGTCTTTAATCTCCATGAAAGCAAAATGACTGTACAGTTCTTTCATCTTCCCTGTCCCTCAGTGTCTCTGAATTTAAAAAAATGGTGTATTTCATTGTGTGAAATTTAGGAATTTGGACAGTAGGAATCCAGGTTTACAGATCTGTATTTACAAGCAATAGAAATCAGTCACTCTCCCTATCTGGAGTGTTGCTGCTGCTGAAGTTCTTTGACATCAGCCCTCTGGATGCAAGGTGTTTGTATCCTAAGCAGCAGTACAGGCCTGGCTTTTGTGACGACCACTTTCTGTTGTTGAGGATGTGGTTAGGCTGCAAGGCAGCTCAGGGTTAGATTGTCATGATTAATTAATAAAACCAGCACTGGTAATATCACAGTCATGTCAGTTAGAGGTGCCAACGCTCAGTTGCTTTGGGAACTGACTTGGAGAGCTATTTAATCTGTTTTCAATAGAATTCCTATAAAAAGTTGTGGTGTATGGCAGTGACAGCCTTCCCTGCTCCCTCTGCTGGCTGATAGCACACCAATCCTGTTGTCCCTTCTCTCTCCAAACACAGCTGTGAAGACCAGCAAGTCTGCCACGGGACATTCGGATTTCCCAGGTAAAGGAGCATTTTTTAGTCCCTCTGCACTTTTCCTACTTTGTCAAGACCTGTCTCGTGGCTGTAGGGGTGGCTCAGCCTGTGCCCGTGAACTGCGCTTGTGGTTCAGCTGCTCAACCGCAGGTACTGAGGTTTGGGCTTTGTTTTTGCATATTTTACAGCAAACAGTCGCAAAACATCCTCAAATGACCCCGAATACCTGTGTAAGTGGATGGGGCTGCCCTATGCTGAGTGCAGCTGGGAAGATGAGGCTCTGATAAGCAAGAAATTTCAGCACTGCATCGACAGCTTCAATAGTCGGAACAACTCCAAAACAATTCCCACCCGGGACTGCAAGGTTTGCTGGCTTCTTTCCTCTCCTTTACTGGGTTGATGCAAGCAGTGGGAACATGAAGTTTTGTCAGGATAAATGTCAGAGAACATTTTCCCATCCTCCCACCTGTGTTGGAAGCGTTGTTTGCTGTTCTTGTATTGTACTTTAGGCAGAGATGTGAACCCCTTTAAGTTTCATTTACTCTGTGCACAGTGAGAACATTATGTCCCCCCTGGGGAGTGGGAGCCTTAATTAAGCCTTGCAAAGTGCTTCCTCCTCAGAAGGAGCTGCAGGAGTTTTAATATCAGTTGGATGAAAAAACAGCACACCTGGTAAAAGAGGAAATCTGCAAGATGCTGGTACAGTGGAGGAGAGGGACAGAAATAATGGGAGAAAAATCAAAAGAGGGCAAAGAAGAAAGTGGAGTTTGTTCCGTCTGTGTGCTTTATGCGCAGCTTACTGTGCTCTTGGGGGGACTCAGAACCCTGATCCTCAGAACCAGACAACAGCAGGCAAATCACAAGAAATGCAGACACAAGCACTAGCTGGGACTTGAATCAATGAAAAGAAATGCAGTCTTTGTTGAATTCCAAGATATCATTGCTAAATTTTCAGCCTTTCAACCACTGACTATTTTGTCCTTCTCTTCAGTGGACTTATGGCAGCATCTTTTTCAGGTGTTGAAGCAGAGGCCGAGGTTTGTCGCCTTGAAGAAGCAGCCCTCGTACATCGGCGGTGAGAACCTGGAGCTGCGGGATTACCAGCTGGAGGGCCTCAACTGGCTCGCTCACTCCTGGTGCAAGTATGTACAGATGCTGTGACATTCATTTTGTGTCTCCTAGTTTTCGCCCCAGTAGGATTTGGCCCTCCTGTTTTCTTGTGAGGTCCTTACCCACCCTCCTTCTGCAGCTTGAAGGATTTCAAATGTTATCATGCCCAGCTGCATTGCAGACACTGCAAGCAGAAACCATCTAAAGCATGAACTCTAGAAACCTTGTGTGAAAACAAAAAGCATTTTCCCTGTCTGGCCCTGTTCATGTGCTGAATTTGGCTGTTGTGTGAGCCTGGTACATATCAGTCCTAGTTTTCCATTGACTTAATGGAAAAAAAGGTTTCTGTCTTAGCACATTTATATACTCACTGAAATCTTTGAGAAATGTCCTTCTAAAATTAGGCCACTGATTCTCCTCTCCCTTTGCCTTTGTCCTCCAGTTTGGAGTCATCATAGTTCATTTTTGCATGTTATTGTGCAATGTACAGTCTGGATGTCCCTGAGATCCACTTGGAAGTGTTCAGATAACTATTTTTGCACTACCCATCTCTACTCTTGCTGTGGATTGCTGTTCCTGTGGAGCACACTAAATTGCTAGTGGCAGAAACTTGCACTCAGACAGCATTTTTGTTTGTTCTCCTCTTTCCCAGGAACAACAGCGTGATCCTGGCTGACGAAATGGGACTGGGCAAGACGATTCAGACAATATCATTCCTGTCATACCTGTTCCATCAGCACCAGCTCTATGGCCCTTTCCTGGTGGTCGTGCCCTTGTCCACTCTCACCTCGTGGCAGAGGGAGTTTGAAGTGTGGGCGCCCGAGATAAACGTGGTGGTTTACATTGGAGACCTCATGAGCAGGAACATGGTGTGTAATCAGAGAGCAAAGGGTGAGGGGTTGGATTGAAGCACTGGGTGCAAAGCAGCAGCTTCTGTGTGACGTGTGTGACACACGTTCTGCTGGAGAGGCTGCTGGATATTATTGGCAGCACTGCAGGCAGCTGGAGCTGGTGTAACAGCTTGTGGCTGTAATCCTCTGCTGCAGGGAATTTTATACCCCAGTTTCCCTCTTGGATTGAGCACAGGAGTACTGTTTTTTCTCAGAGTCTAGAAACTACTACTGGGCTGAAAAATGCTGCAGTGAGGAGTCCAGCAGTGTAAAAGTGCTTGTCTCCTGTGTCTGGAATTATTCAGACAACAGAGCACACAAGTGTTGGGAGTCTAGTGGTGTCCACAGTGAGGTGACACTCATTTAGCTGATGAGGTTAAAGTTACAAGAGCAAGTTGACCTTATTTTGTTACCTGTGCAAGGGCAGTTGAACCATGTGTGCAGTAAAACAAGCTGCTCCTTGGGCACCCTGAGCTCATCAAATGGCACCTTGAACAGCAGGGTTTTGGACTTGGTTGGAGTCTCTGTGTACAGCTACATTAAAGTAATGATTGTTAACTCTTTCCTTTTGATAACCTTGGTTGAAGCTAACATCTGTCTCCCCTCACAGATACGTGAATATGAGTGGATTCATTCTCAGTCTAAAAGATTGAAATTTAATGCACTTATCACAACATATGAGATCCTCCTCAAGGATAAGGTGAGCAATGGTCCAAGAATGTTTTTACTTAAACTTTCATTTCAAAGGGGGAAGCCAGTCCCTAGCTAGTGGGTTTCACCTCTTCCCTCTATGGTGATGGACAACATACAGCTACTATTTCCTTTCACTTGCCAGTAATACACAGGGAATGTGGGACACATGTTATAGTCTCTTCACTCTTGCTCTGCACAGTTGTTTTATTCTTTTCACCTGTGAGGCATCTGGCAGGACAGTAGCTGGATTTTTACCTGATTTAATTTAGGCTTGTTAAGAGAACAAAACATTACACTGACCCTTTGGCCACAGTGTCAGCAATATCTGTATTTTTGCACCTGGGAGAAATCTGTCTGCTTAGGAAATACTCATCAGCCCTGTCAGTACATCACTGAGTCCTAGCAGGAATCAAAAAAAACTTTTAAAAAAAAAAAATCACAACTCAGATTACCTCAACTTTTTAGTCTTGTTCATCTGCTCTCCTCCTGCTGCTGCAGTGGGACTAGTGCTACCCAAGGTCCCAAGGGCATGGAGAAAGAGGGAAATAAAGAGCTGGGGGAGGACTCTGCTTTCTGGGTAAAGCAAAGGAGGATTAAGATAGGTGTACTTACTGCAGGACTGTCCAGGTATGGCAGGAGTGTTACACGGCATGGCTAACGTTCACCTTTTCATTTCTGGGGAGGAAAAACTCATGTAGGCATCTTGGTCTCCACATTTTGTTAGCAAGAAACTCTTGTGAGACGAAGTCTGGCTGGGGCAGGATGTCCTGGGCTGCACACACTGGCCGTGGAGAGAAAGGCCTGGGCAAGGTGGTGGGGCTTGTCTGACCCAGCGTCTCCTTGGCGCCTGTGTTTTTTTTCTTCTCTTCCTCCAGACTGTTTTGGGAAGTATTAACTGGGCCTTTCTAGGCGTGGATGAAGCCCATCGGTTGAAAAATGACGACTCTTTGCTGTACAAAACATTGATTGATTTCAAGTCCAACCACAGGCTGCTGATCACCGGCACCCCGCTTCAAAATTCACTCAAGGAGCTCTGGTCCCTGCTGCATTTCATCATGCCAGAGAAGTGAGTCCTTCCAAGAAATACCTCCGTGTCCATTCTTGTCTGTAAAATAGGCTCAAGAGAGTGCAGAATGGCAGAAATCCCTGAATTAAATCCCTGAATTAAACTTGGTGGAGTGACGGCAACGAAAGGGGAAACAGACATTGGTGGGGAAAATCAGAGGTTAAATGACTAACACAGGGAGTATTTCTGGCAGCAAACTGAATGGGGAAACCTGATACGTGCCTTTTAAATCTGTCTGCTGTCTTTGAGACATCTCTAAAAAGCTAAATTTGTTTCAAGCAATCAGCCATTTCTGAGGTTTCCAGTACACTGTGGTTCAGGCACCCTCGCCAACCATTTCATGGCAGGCCCTGAGAGTGTCACTCCAGGACAGTGCTCACTGTCTGGCTGATTGTGTGTCCACAGTATAACAAATACTTTGATTTCTTTAAAATAAAATGATCTATGGGCATTGCTAAGGCTAAGGCAAGCATGCCCCAAAGCTCACTAAAGTCATGTTTGACTGAAAAAAGAGCTGTTCCCCAAATTCTTTTTGTTGGATCGCAGAAAGAGAGAAGGACGGGTTTGGGGTCTCCCAAGTGGAGGAGGAGCGTATCTCCACATTTCAAAGGAGCTGTTAGAGGAAGCAGCAATCCAAAAAAGCCTTCAGAGCAGGGTAAAACAGTCCAGTTGTCAAAGCCCTGCCTGGGGGAAGGCACTGTGGAAAGTGTGGAAACTGCTGCCAGTTAAATGTCAGCAGAGTAAAATACTGGAAAACTTGGAAGTTTGGGTCCTCGGAGTCAGCATGGAGCTCAAATATAATATGTTAGGAAGGTGCCTAAGCCCAAAGAGCTTCTAGCTTTGCCACCAATCTGCTTAGTGAGCAAGAGCAGAGTGAACCTGTTATCTTCCACTGTTTCCATTGAACTGATGATCTCCTGTCCTGTGCAGCAGGAGCATATCTGATAGATGCTGTGTGGTGCTGTAAGACAAGACATTCTGACCTCTCCCTGCTCCTCATTTCTGTTGCTAGGTTTGAGTTCTGGGAGGATTTTGAAGAGGATCACGGGAAAGGTAGAGAGAATGGCTACCAAAGCCTTCACAAAGTCCTGGAGCCTTTTCTCCTACGAAGAGTGAAGAAGGATGTGGAGAAATCTTTGCCAGCCAAAGTGGAGCAGATCCTCCGGGTGGAAATGTCTGCTCTGCAGAAACAGTATTACAAGTGAGTCATTTAATAAGTTACTGGGAGTGCCAGTAGTAATGGGCCTTGGGAATGTGTTTCAGTATACTGTGGATACTGTGGCCTTCAGAGTGCAATATGTCAGCCATCACCTGTAGTACCATGAGCTTCCCAGTAGGAAGCTGAGGTAGGGTAGTTGGTATCTTTCCTTCTAAAAAATCATCTCCAGACCACTGGAGATGCTCTTGTAGAATAATACAGTTCAGCTGGCGAGCTTTGCAGGACAGAGGTTACATCTTTTCTGGGGGAGTAAAGATCTGCACAAAATTGTGATGCTGTTCAATATTAAACTGCGATAATATCAATAGGAAATTAAGGTCATGGTTTCTAGTGAGCAACGTCCTGTAAAAAAAGTAAGGAGAGATAGAGGGAGGAGAGCTAGATAGAGATAGTTCTGATGCCTGAACGAGATTTCCCGGAAGGTTTTGTTCCTCAAAGACTCCAGCAGGTGCACTCTGGGCTGTGAAATGATCTGGACTTTCATTTTTCCTGCCTGCAGGTGGATTTTGACAAGAAACTACAAAGCTCTTTCAAAGGGAACAAGGGGAAGCACATCTGGTTTCCTGAACATTGTGATGGAACTGAAAAAGTGCTGCAACCATTGCTACCTTATCAAACCTCCTGAGGAAAACGAGAGAGAGAATGGCCTTGAGACCCTGCAGGTGAGTGGTGCCTTTGGTCACCACCTTTTTTCCTTAACTTCCCTCTTCCTTCTGTCCTCCTAGCAAGATAACAGCTGTGGCCTCTCTTTTAGAATTAGTCTGCACAACTAAGCCACTTGAACTCTCAGTGGAGAGTTCAATGGAGGCAACATTTTGTGGACATCTAGAGCAGGAGTTGCAGGCAGTGTAACATGTCTTGAATGATTCATTTTGTGTGTGGCCTCTGCTGTGTAAATCCAGATGATTTGATTAAAGATGTACAAGAGATGCATGACCCCAAAAGAAGCAGTTCTGTACATGTCTGTATAATGTAAGATTGGAAAACATCAGCTGGAATGATGGTTATTTCTTCAGTCTCTGATCAGGAGCAGTGGAAAGCTAATTCTCTTGGACAAGCTGCTGACCAGGCTGCGGGAGAGAGGCAACAGAGTGCTGATCTTCTCCCAGATGGTGAGGATGCTGGACATCCTGGCAGAGTACCTGACTATCAAACACTACCCTTTTCAGGTGAGAAACATCAGCATGCAGAACAGTGGGGTTCTCTTGAAAATGTGTGAAAATGCAGAGGGAGCTTGAGCAATGGGAGTCATTGAGTTTCCCAGAGGCTGGTGGCTGGGATTACAGGTTGCATTTACTGCAGGGAACTGGCATGTCCCTTCATTTCAGTGTAGCCATATCTCTGCAAAACTCCTTTGACAGGCCCCTTTGGCCTGTGTCCTGTGATAAACCCTGAGGAGAGGACTGTGAACACAGAGAGCCTGGCTTGGGAGCCTGTAATGGGAGCTGTGGTGTCACCCGCTGTGTGAGCATCCCCCCTGTCCTTGTGACACAGCTGAGGCAGTGCAGTTATTTTTAATTGGAGGCTATTTTTAACAATCAAACGCTGCAGGCTGCGAGAGGGGCTGTAGGGCTTGCAGGACCTGGGTGCACCAGTTCCTCAGGGCTCCTTTACCTTCTTTCTTTTATCACTGTTGTTGATTTTTCCAGCGCTTGGACGGCTCGATCAAGGGGGAGATCCGAAAGCAGGCGCTGGATCACTTCAACGCCGACGGCTCCGAGGTACCACAGTCCTGCCTCAGGAGGGGCCGGGTGGGCTGCCCGGGCAGTGGGTGTTGTGGCTGAGCCACAGGTTGTGACTGCCAAGAGGGGATTAGTTCAGTTCATTTCTTTTTACAGGACCCCAGATACTTTTGAAGACACAGATATAGCAGGTTTTGCAACTGGCCATATTGCTTGTTTTAAATCTGCCATGTCCAAGGAACAGGGCTGCAAGTCACAACTCCAGAAAGTCCAGAAGAGGCTGGGAAGAGCCAGAGTTTAGCAATGCTCTCCCTATGGTCTGAAGAATGAGAGATGGTTGTTAAATGATTCCGGTCTGAAGAATGAGAGATGGTTGTTAAATGATTCCGGTCTGAACAATGAGAGATGGTTCTTAAATGATTCCAGTCTGAAGCTGGTTTTGGATATGAAATAGCAAAGGCAAAAGGAGGATTTTTAGTGTTGGCAGGCAGTGGAGTCTGGTGTTGGAGGTGAAAGTCTGCAGTGTAATATGAGAGGACATCTCAAACCTCTCATCCAGGATTGCTGACTCACAGTGACTGGTGCAAGGCACTTGTTTTTGTGTCAGTCAGCCCAACCATGACAAATACCTTTCCTCACTCCAGAAGCCTGGGCTGGAAGGGAATTCTTGGCTGGCACAGGAGATACAGAAACTCTTCATGGTTGTGGGAAAGTTAACAAATAAAAGTGAGAAGGAGACAGCAGTGTGAGTGGGAAAGGAGAAAGAATGCCCATAGAACCTGCCCTTTTGCCTTCTTTTGAGGGCATCTGTAGGGGCTCAGGTGTCTTGGCTCTAACCTGGCATCCTGTGCCCTTGGGCAGTAACTTGAACAGTCTGTTAGTTACTGATCTCACTCCCAACAGGATTCAGGCAAGAAAAAGCAGATGTTTGTCTTCTGCCCTTGTAGGAATCTAGTGGTCTGACCTTCAAAAGTGACTCCAAGGTGCCCTTGCTCTGAGCTGCTTTGTTGCATACCTGGATTAGCACATCTTTAACCCCTGCCAGCACTGCCTCACCATGGGTCCTGGCTTAAAGACCACTGGTGCTTAGCCTGTGTATGGGAAGGAAATAATTTTTCTGCTTTAAGAAGCATGAGTGCAACAGAGCCTTACATTTGCTTGTACAGCTTTTGAGTCACCATTGCTATTTTATGTCCACAGTTACAGGCTGGCTAACTCATGGATGCTTTTTTTTTTCCCCCCCTCAGGACTTCTGTTTCTTGTTGTCAACACGAGCTGGAGGGCTTGGAATTAATTTGGCCTCTGCTGATACTGTTGTTATCTTTGACTCGGACTGGAACCCCCAAAATGATCTTCAGGCTCAGGCCCGAGCTCACCGGATTGGACAAAAGAAGCAGGTCAGAAGAGCTGCCTGGGTCGTTTTGTCTGTGGCTTCAGTGTGAGCATCTGAACAGGCTCCCACTACACCAGAGAAAATATGGTCTTTTTGCCCCAGTCCTGACTCCAGAGAGTGCTGCCAACCTCAGGGAATCTTACTGAAAAAAGGAGACAAAAAATCAGTCCAGATTTGCCATATGCCAAGTCTTTGTGTTGGCTTTGGGTTCTGAGATGGTTCAAAACCAAGAACCCAACCTGTTACACTTCTCTGCCTAGTGGACTCTGTTCTTTCTTGCCCAGAAAAACTTAGCAAGTAGAGCATCACCTTTACTGGGGGTTTATTAGATACGAGAAAAGTTTGGTGCTAGTCTGAATTTAGCATGATTGTTTCAGAAGAAAATTTACTCTGTGCTTAGGCACACTACAAGATGTGTGTTAACCATCCTGATTTTAATGGGGTCCCCTGAGATGTAAAGAGAATGTGCTTGTTTTTCTCCTGTAAAACCACATCTGTGTGTGAACAGACAGTGTCAGCAGACCAGTCTCCTGTGAAATAGCTGAGGGTTGTATTGCTGTGTCAGCAGAGCATGTTCAGGTTCGGGAAATAGCTCTGTTCTCTTTTTACCCCTTAGGTGAATATTTACCGCCTGGTCACAAAGGGGACAGTGGAGGAGGAGATCATTGAGAGAGCCAAGAAGAAAATGGTGCTGGATCATTTGGTTATCCAGCGTATGGACACCACTGGCCGGACTGTTCTGGACAACAACTCTGGGAGATCCAAGTATGTGATTGTGTCAGGAGGCAGAGATGTCTGAAACAGTGCATGGCATAACCAGCCTCACCTGTTGGTATTTCCCAATATTTATTGGGTAGGGTATAGGGCAGAAGGCTAATAAATAATGACAGCTTCCAGTGATTTGGCTTATGCAGCCATTAATTTGGACATATAGGATAAAGATGATCAGAAATTAAAACCTAGTTTTAATGCATTACTTGTTTTTACTTCTGCCTTCCACCCAGAGATCACCCTGGTCTGAGGGAACCTGGTAGTGGTTGTGGAAAAGCTGCACCTTGGCAGTGACCTCAGACTCTCACCATTTCCCCCCAGTAGATGGAAGTGGTTCCCTTTATAGTCATTATCCTTGTTAGAGCAGGAAAGAGATTAATAAAAAAGCCTTTTATAGTGCTGAGTAGAAAACTTACTCCTTGCTTCAATTAGGAAAAACTTTGGTGTGGTTTTGTGCTGTAGCAGTGCTGACTTAACAACTCAAAACACCTTTTCCTTCTCACTTGCTCTTGCAGCTCAAATCCTTTCAACAAAGAGGAGCTGACAGCTATTCTGAAGTTTGGAGCTGAAGATCTCTTCAAGGAGCTTGAAGGGGAAGAGTCAGAGCCTCAGGTAGTTTGAAATTGAAATCACATAGCAGTTTGTTGTCATCTGCAGGTCTGCATGAGGGATTGTGTGTGGTTGCCCCCACTTTGTACTTATCCTGTGCATGAGAGCAGGTCAGTGAATAGGACACGTGTGAGTCTGGAGAAACTGAAGGAAGAGTCTGGGATTGGAGGATCAGGGGGTTGAGGAGAGCCTTGCTGTTGGGGATTAAATAGTAAAGGTCACCAAGGGAGTCCCTTGTCTGGTGAGGATTCATTAGCTAGTTATAGCACAGCCTGCTGAAAGCTGCTCTCCCTGCCTCTTCTGAGCACTTGTTCTCAGCATCCTTTTTTGGTTGTTCTCTGAGAGGCAGGAGTCAGCACAGTGAAGTGAATAGGTCGCTTTCTTCTGCCTCAGTGCAGCATTGCTTGACAATTTAGTATGGAGTGCTTTGACCGATTCTCTAAATGGCCCAAGCAGCAGAGCTTCTCCCGAGGAAGACAGTCCACAGTTCATATATCTCACTGTCTGGAAATTTTCCTGACTGTTCAGCCTCGATAGTCCTTTTCTTCTGTCCTGTCACCTTATTTATACTCTGTTGTACCACTTGAGATAGTTCATCCCAGCCCTCGGGGATGACACCCTGCAGATATTTGCACTTTATTTAGCGCATATCAGCACACGAGTCTGTTCTCAAAGCCTCTTATTTCCCGCTGCGCTCGGTATCCTCTGCTTTATCCCTCCTTCTCCCTGACTGGTAGGAGATGGACATCGATGAGATTCTGCGTCTGGCTGAAACACGAGAGAATGAAGTGTCCACCAGTGCCACTGACGAGCTCCTCTCCCAGTTCAAGGTATGGACCCCCAGGCTCTGTAGTGGGGTGTGGGAATGTGGCTCCCCACATCCTGCCATGGTAAGGTCAGTAACAGGCAGGAACACCTCGGAGAGATCACAGAATCACAGAATGGTTTGGGTTGGAAGGGACCTTATCTAGTTCCAACCCCCCCCCCCGATGTAGGTATTAATTTGCTTTCGAGTAAGTGGTTTTGAAAGCTGTGAATCAAATGCAGATTTTACCAAATTTGGAAGCAAAGCCAATAATTAACAAAGGCTCAGCAGGACTTCTTAAACTGCACGTACTTCCTCAAAAGCTGTAAGTCCAAAAACGTGGCAAGGAACCAGGAATGTAGTGACATAGGAATTAATTATGCAGTAGTTTATGGAAGTGTTGGCAGAATTCCTATGGGGCAGGAGTTGAGGCTTAGCAGACAGCTCAGGAGTGTTCCTGCCAGGGGAGGGAATTGCTAAAACTTTTCCTGTGCTTGTGAAAGGTCGCCAACTTTGCAACCATGGAGGAGGAAGAAACAGAGCTGGATGAGCGGTCCCAGAAGGACTGGGATGATATCATTCCAGAGGAACAGAGGAAAAAGGTGGAGGAGGAAGAAAGGCAGAAAGAGTTGGAGGAAATCTACATGCTGCCTCGAATCCGGAGCTCAACTAAAAAGGTACAGCCCATCTCGAGGAGCTGAGAGGCAGGAGGCAAGAGCTGGCAAAGGCAACAGTCAAGGGAAGCCTCCTTGCCATCTGAGCTTCCTTTCCTCCTCCAAAGTTGATTGGGAATAAAGCACAGAGGTAGCACATTGACCTCTTGTTGGCATCATGCATTGGGCCCATGGTTTGGGATGCAGTGTGAGGGCCCAGACTTAAATTGGTCTGACTCATCTTAGCAAACAAAATTAAAAAAAACTTATAGTGACCACAAGGCAAAGTATCCAACTGTATTGGATTTTACTGCAGATTTTACATTTTCTGGCTGTTTGTTTTCCTCGGACTTGCTAGCTCCCTGGGCTGCTCTTGCCTAAATGTGGATCTTGAGGGGCAAAGGAGATGGTGTCTTCCTGAGTCCTTCTTTAGGTCATGGGATCTACCCCAATCTAAAAGAAAGCTGGCTGTGCAAGGAAGTTCTTCTGGGATATGGGACTTTAATGGATTATGCACTGTTCTCTGGATGAGCTGGGGAAAAACAGAGAGAGAAGGATAATTCATATTGGATGAATCCAGATTAATTTCTATGGAGTCCTGGTTTTTGAAATAGTCTAAGGGAAATCAGTGTGTTTTAATGTCTCATAACCTTAGTAAATCAAAATACAGTTGTGAAACTGCTGGCTCTACAGGGAGGATGACCACTAGAGCCTTTGCCAGCTGGGAACTGCAAGGGTGTGCAGCCTTTCTAGGGCGGTTACATGAGCTCTTGCATCTTTAGGAATAAATGCCAAGGTGTTTTACAGCCTGTACATTAAATAGTGCCAGTGCAGGAGGGACAGAAAAGGTTGTTAGCTGATTAGATTAGCAGTTGTTAACTCTACTACTGTTCTTCTGGTACATGCAGGCTCAGACAAATGACAGTGAATCAGATGCAGAAACTAAGAGAAGGCTGCAGAGATCATCTGGATCAGAAAGCGAGACTGACGACACCGATGACGAGAAGAGACCAAAGCGCAGGGGACGTCCTCGGAGTGTTAGAAAAGACACTGTGGAAGGATTTACTGATGCTGAAATCAGGAGGTCAGTGCTGAGCACAAGAGACAGTTCAGAAAACAAATATAGAAATGCCATGCAGGTGGAGAAAATCCCAGATTAATCCAGGACGCGTTCACCTGTAAGCACGTCAGTGGTTAGGTGGAGCTGGTTCATTGAGACAGCTTCTGCATCTTTATATAATTCAGTTTGCTCCCAGCTGACCTTAACATCCAGGTCAGTGAAAAATGGACTGGATTGTCTTTAGTCAGGCTACAGTGAAGCTGGTGCCTTCCTGAGATTAATCCTTGTTGTAACTGCCTTTCCTGGGCCAAGGGGATTGAGCTAATTCCATGTAACACGTGAGGTCTTAGGTGCCATGAGATACAGAGCTGGAGAAGCTAAGGGCTCTGGCCTTCCTGACATTTTTCTGGCAGTTATCCTGCTGATTTAAGCTCTAAGTGAAAGGCAGACTCTGGCAAAGTGACCCCATGAGAAGCACTGGTTCCATTGATCCTAGCAGTTGTGTGTCAGTTCCTTGGAGGCAGCTGGGGGCTGAATTCCAGAGTATTGTTTTCTTCTTTTATCTTCTAATTCTTGAATGTTTCCCAAAGATCTTTGTCTTACAGCTCTGCCCACATGTTCAGCCAAAGATGGAAAAGAGAGGGCTAAGAGTTTTCCTTGACTCTTTCCATATCTGAGTTGCTATATTTTTAAGCAGGAGATACCAGATTTTCTGGACTGTGGTACCTGCCCTATGTCCATCTTGAAACCATGGAGCAGGAAGGACGTGTTACAATATGGAATATAGCAGCCATTTTTTGTAATGTAACAGAAGGAGGCCGAAAGAGCATAAGATGAAAAAAAGAAGGCAAAAAAATAATTAATTTAAAAAATAACCTGTAATTGTAGCCATTGGGTCTACTCCTAGCACAAGGCACTGTTCGATTGCAGCAACATTTGACTCTTGCCCTAAAGTTGTGTTGGCCATGGCAGGGACTTTCACAATAAAAATAAGACATAAAAATAAATAGCAATCCTTGTCTGCAAACCTCTGTGATGGATTGAACCACGCTTGGCTCTTCTGTGATGGGTTGCTACATTTACAGCCTGAGCCTTAAAATTACTAATGACATTGATTTAATGCCTCTTTTCTTCTTGGAAAAATGAAGTTAATAATTACCAACATGGTGTGAGCCAGTGCTTTCTTCTATTTTTTCTTTCTATTTTCTTCTATTTTTTTTTACACTACAGTTATGACTCTCTTTTTTTTTTTTTTTGGTCATCTGTCAAGCACTCAAAATTCATAATAATATTGTGTTCTTCTCCAGCCAAGGTCTCAAAACTCGTTGTGGAGGCTAATGGATGAAGCTTCCCAGTGCTGAGGGATACTGAGCTAATCAATGGGGAATGCAAGGGTGATAATCTGGCAGACTGTAATTCATATATTCAAGTGTATTTGTGATACTGGACCTACTTTTTATGGCAGTTAGTTTAGTCTTCTTATTATTTTTTTTTTTCCTTAGGTTTATCAAGGCTTACAAGAAGTTTGGATTGCCTCTTGAAAGGTGAGTCCCACCCTGGCCCTGCTCCAGAGGGGAATCACGGAGGGACACTGTATTTCTGAGCAGAGCCAGACACACACATTGCTGTGGGTGTTTGAACCTTGCTGTCATGTCATCAGGAACACAAGCACTGCTGTGCAGTCCCTTGTGCCTCAGTTGATGGGCACTGATGAGTGCTGGCCAAAAGCATCTCGAGCAGTCGTGGCGCCGGGCTGTAACAGCATCGTCCTGCTGGCAGAGTCCGGCCCTTGGGGCATTCCCACTCAGCCTAGAAAAGAGAGGGAGCAGCTGTTGGAACAGCAAATACTACCCAAAACGCTTGCCAAGCTTCTCTCTGCACGTTAGCCTCAAAACTGAATTTGGAGCACCTTTCCATGCTCTATCCCTCTTGAAGGGAAGCAGAGAGAGGCACAGACCATCCTCGAGCGTGGGTCAGCAGAGCCCTGGCTGAGTGCTGTGACCCAGCATGAGTGAGGGGGGAAGGGAGATGCCATATGTGCTGGGGCTGGAAAGCCCCTGCTGAGGTCTCAGGGCTGAGGCAGGGTTCCCTGCATATATTGTATGAGAATTACAGTGTTTTTTCAGCTGGTTGTACTCTTCTGTTGTGAAACACAAGGCTTGCGTGTGAGTCTTCAGGCAGGCAAAAGGGACAGCAGATGGCAGCTTTGGACCATCAGATGGAGTTAATATGGAACTAGGAAAGCCTGAGGGAACACTGGGCAGTCATAGAGGGTCCCTGTTGTTCCCAAGACAGACAGTTCCCACTTTTGCTTTAGTATTAAAAAATCCAAAGGATTTGATCACTTATTCTACATCTGAACTGCAGCTGTTAGACCTAAAGAAGACCAAAAAACTGAGTTGCTTCCTGCACAAACTCAACGTGTGTGTGTGTTTCATACATTCATATATGTACGTATGGAGTACTAAAAGCTGTGAAACAGTTGATTAGGAGATGACTGGGAGGATATATTCTCTATCAAATACAAGACACTTTCCCCCTTTCCCAGGTTGGAGTGTATTGCCCGAGATGCTGAGCTGGTGGATAAATCTGTGGCTGATCTGAAACGTTTAGGGGAGCTCATCCACAACAGCTGTGTGTCAGCAATGCAAGAATATGAGGAGCAGCTGAAAGAAAATCCAGGGGAAGGTAGGCAAGAGGGTTGTATGCTGCTGTTATGATGTTTTTGGGATTGTTCCATGGAGCTGGAGAGGAAACTGTTGCCATGCTGGCTGGGGAGGTGTGCCACATTGTGACTTAGAAGCAATAAAACAAGCACACACTTAAACCATCCCATCTCTGCCAGGCAGCTGTCACCAGTGGAGAGAAACTCCTGAGCCTTCTGCTCAGACTGGAAAGTGCTGCTTGGGTCTGCTGGTTTCTGCTGGACATATGTTTTCATGGGGAGAGACTGAAGTGATCAGCTGATTTAATGCTGGGTCACAAAGCCCAAATTTTAACTGCTCCTGGGACTGGGAAGCAAACTGGTGCTATGTACTCCATGGTAAAGCTGGATCCACAGTTAGCACTTCCCAGAGCTGGAATCATCATCCGCTCTCTGTATGGCTGTTCTGTGCTGTTGGTTTAGAGATAAAGGGTCAGGTCTGGATTTCCTGCTGGGTCTCTGCCTGTTGCAGCTGAACAAAACTGCTGAAGCAACAACTCGAGCATACTTGGAGGTGTTTTTAAGAAAATGATACTGGGAGGTGTTTGGATTGCAAATCTAAGTGAGTTAGAGTAAGAAAACTAATATTTTGGGCCTTATGTTTAAATAAGTGGTTGAGGCAAGGTCTTGATCACTGTCTGTGAAGCCATTTTTACAGAGGCACTTCTTTCTCTAAGAGTTCTCTTAGTTGCTGTGTTTTATTGTTGAGCAGGGAAAGGACCTGGAAAAAGACGAGGTCCTACTATCAAGATTTCTGGTGTCCAAGTCAACGTGAAATCCATCATCCAGCACGAAGAGGAGTTTGAAATGCTGCATAAATCCATTCCCGCAGACCCAGAGGAAAGGAAGAAGTGAGTTTGGCTAAAGTAGGCAATGCAGAAAGATGCTCAGGGAATTTGGATTTTGTAGTGGAAAGTGAATAGCCTGGATATGTGGATTTGCTTTATCCTCCACAGCATTAAAAGTAGCTCGTGTTTGAAATGCCTTTAGGTACCGCCTGACGTGCCGTGTCAAAGCTGCTCATTTTGATGTAGACTGGGGAGTGGAGGAGGATTCTCGCTTGTTAGTGGGAATTTACGAGCATGGTTATGGAAACTGGGAGCTAATTAAAACAGATCCGGAATTGAAGTTATCTGATAAGGTAGGTCGCTTCACTTGCTGATTGCTCTATGGCAGTGCTCATAGAGAACATGCTTCATTTACTCCAGAAACAGATGTTTGTGTTTATAACTACTCCAAAAATAATAATAATAAATAATAATGAGGAAAACAGTGACCTTCATGGAATGTTGCATGCTCGATGGAAAGCAGAGCTGTGTTATTTGATGGGCAGTACATTTTCCCTGAGCAGTACCACATGAACCACACTGAAACGATGCAGGAAGAAAATGGCAATGCTGACATGTGTGGTTACATGCACAGGACAGAAGAGGCTGCATTGCATAATCATGACTTGATGTTTCCTTGTGCATCTCACAGGAAGCTGAGTCTGAATTTCTGTGTGGAAGTAATTTTTCACAGATTTGACACTGCTTATGTCAAGACTGATCTGTGTTAGCTTTGAGGGTATAGTTAAATGACTGGTGATGGCAGCACAGCCAGCTGGAAAGCCTCCATCTAGTTCCTCTGTTCCTCAGTCATGCCCACAAGAACAGTTTGTGGGGACCATGTTGAAATGATCTGGGTTAAAAATAAGCCTCCATCCGTTGTGTCAGTGCAGTGGAAAGAGCAAACTGCAGCACAGGGCTGAGGAGCATCGGGAATCTCCAAGCCAGCTTTGCTGCCAGTATGTGACATTCCCATGACATCCTCTAGTGCTTTTAGCAAAGATCATGCTGTGGCTGAGAGCCCTTAATGTGTGGAGTTCAGAAAGGCATCTTATAGTGGAAACAACTGCCTGAGACACACCACCCAGTTTCCAATGAAGTATGAGACTAACCTAGTTGATGAGCTGAGATACTTCCCACAGAGTGGCCCCTTGGAGCTTTGTTTTCCACTAAAAAGTCTGCATCTGTACCACTGCTGTAGCAATGTCTTAGGTTACCAGAGGGACCAGCCTTCTGTGACAAGGCTGTCACAAACAAATCTGATGTGTCAAGGAGAGTGGACTCAGTTTTGCAACACAAGGTCCCAAATATAGTTTGTAAAGGTTTTTTTTTCTTCTAGAAAAGATCTTTTTTCTTCAAGAAAGATCCCAGAGAACCTAGAGAGCTGCCTTGGGGTCCTTCAACTTCTGCAAAAGTCCAAGGGGAGGGATGCTTGTTTGCTGGGAGCTTCACTTTTAGCCAGACAGGGAGAGTCTGTGAGGAGGGGGGAAGGAATGCTTGAGCCTGCTTGTTCCCCCAGAAGGTGCAGCATCTCCAGCCCTTTGCTGGGCCTGGAAGGACTGCTGATAGTGTGTATCTCTTTTGTCAAGCTTGTTGCATGAAGGTATATATTTTTTTTTCTGCTTTATTGAAGATCCTACCTGTTGAGACAGATAAGAAACCTCAGGGAAAACAGCTCCAGACTCGAGTTGATTATTTACTGAAACTGCTGAAGAAAGACCTGGACAAGAAAGAAAACATGAAAGATGGGGAAGAGGTGAGATGTGGCTGCCTGATTCTGGGGATTTCAAGAGGAGTGATGGCAGGCTGATGGCAGGGGACAGCCTGTGTTCTCAGGTCACTGAACATCATCTCCGTGAGGGAATATGCGCTTGTCTGTTGTCTGATTGCATTGTGATATTGAAGTGATAATTAGTGAGGGGCAGGTAATTATTGCACTTACTTGGCCTCATCAGGCTTCCTGCCATCCTGCAGGGCTGCAGTTGTTTGCAAGGTGTTCAGGAGATATAATATGGCCCCAGGAAGTAGCTATTTGCTTGCTCTGACTACTTCTGTGTTTTCACCAGGGCAAGCTAAAGAAGAGGAAACCACGAGTAAAGAAAGAGAACAAGGCTCCCAAAGTCAAAGATGAGCATGGGAATGAACTCTCCTCTCCTCGGCACTCAGACAACCAGTCAGAAGAAGGTGAAGTCAAGGTGAGTCAACCTGGTGGATAGTGGCTTTTCCAGGTTTCCTTGAGCTGTGCTATTACTGCCCAAACTCACCTTGAGAAGCACCCCCAGCAAAGCCCTGGGGAGTCAGGGGGCACTATAGAGTGAATTCCCACAGGACTGACAAACTTACAAAAACATACATACAGCTGTCAGGGTGAAGGAGGCACCTTTCCCACCTATTTTTTTTTAGGTCAGTGCTTTAAGTGTTTTTGGGCATCTTAGAGTGGCCACACACATCCACATATTGACTTGGAGGAAAGGTTGTGTTAGGACAAAGCCTACTGCCCTTATAAAGGAGAGAAAGAAGAATTGTTTCTCTCTCCTTTTGGGCACGTCAGCCAGTGGTGAAGTTGGAGTTTACCAAGGTCATGCTGTTGCTTAGAAAACGTTCTGTCATTGAGTGGTTTGGCTTGTAGTCTGAGGCTTTTTGTTCATGTGCTGATCAGTATCTACCTCAGGGGCTGAGCGTTCTGGAGCACAGCTGGCACAGGAAAGCAGTGCAGATCTGCAGACTGGGGCTCCTCTGGTTTTTATACCCTTTTGTCAAGTTTGGGTGGATGGCAGCTGCTTAAGCAGGGCTTGCTGTCTGGTTAAAGAGGTGTGAGGGCAAATTTGGATGTACCTCAAAAGTTGCCTGCATTTTAAGGATGTAAGTTTTATTGGAAGAAAGTGTGCATGAGGTGAGGACTCCAACTTTGTGCTGTGACTGGTTTTCTAGGAGGATGGCTTGGACAAGAGCCCGGTGAAAAAGAAACAGAAGAAGAAAGAGAACAAAGAGAACAAGGAAAAACAGACATCCTCTAAGAAAGAAAAGGAAAGTGATAAAGAGAAAAAGAAAACAAAAGACAAGAAAGAGAAGGTATGTGGTTCTCTCAGGAGCAGTTTGATAGGAAAGTCCCTGAGCAGAAGGACAAACTGTGAGACTTAGGATTCATGGAAGGCCCTGTGTGAAGAGACATCAGTGAAGCACTGGGGGGTGAGGTGGTATCCCGTTTTCAGCCCTTCTTGCCATAAAAAGTAGAAAAGGCAGTATGTCCTAAAGGTTGATGGAACATGAGCAAAAAGGAAGAGATTTTGTCAGTCTGCCTTTAAAGTACAGCTATCCCTGTGACAGTGATATGGCCACATAGCTGATGTTAAGGAAGAACAGGAGAAGAGCCTGGAGCACTCAAATCAAAGTTCTGTTCAGCTGTGATTTATCACAGAGTTGGCAGCTCCTTGTCTTTATTCCCCTTTAATTTAAACTCACCCAAATGACCCAACTGCCCACACCATCAAGACTGAAAAGTTGTCATTGTCACTGTTCAGGACTCAACCAGAATGAGTGTTTCAACATCCCTGGTATATTGGAGACTAAAATGTCTCTTGAATCTTGGGTGCAACTGCCCTGAGGCTGGGTTCAAATTGGAAGGGGAGTAAAAGCTCCCATAACACTGACCTGAAGTACCTGTCCAAGGAACAGGTATGTGCTGCATGTGAGTGTGCTTTGACACTGAGGTCATAAGTGCAAACCAAGAAGTTTTGTTGAGTATGTAAGGGAAGGTTTTCTTTCCAGTGATATTTGGTACAGCTTTGACTGCAGATAAGTCATGTAAGTAAAATTTTACATAAACAGGCCATTGTTTGAGAACTAGTGACATCACATGAAGTTGCAGATCCTTGTAGACATGAGACTACCCTGAGCTCTATCCTTTGCAAGGGAGGGATATTCTTTCACTTACACTCTCTTCCAAGTCTTCAGCACTTGGTTTTCTCTCCATGAGTGTGAATATCATATTCATGTCCAAACTGTTGGCTCTGACTTCCCTCTGCTCCCTTAGGGGTGATGTAAAGCTAAATAGAGCCATTGCAGCTCAACAGTTTTTGATTCTGGGAGGAAAGTTGTAGGAGCAGTGCCCAGGGTTTAACAACTGCCAGTAACAATAGTGCAGAGGCTGTTAGTTGGATCACTTGGGATCCTGCAGTCTGGCTCATCATGTGATGTGTGTAATTTGTCCTTGTAAAGCCTAAAGGTGGAGAGGCCAAATCTGGGAGCAAAGGGAAGAGATCACAAGGTCCCGTCCACATTACTGCAGGGAGTGAACCAATCCCCATTGGCGAAGATGAGGATGATGATCTGGACCAAGAAACATTCAGCATAGTGAGTATTTTCCTCGGGAAATGGGAGGGCAGTGGCAGAGAGCCCAGCCCAAGGTGGTTGAGGTTTGCTTAAAAGGACGTGTTGTAGGTGTCAGGGTGTGAACCCTCTCCGAGCGCCCCACAGGGATTTCCTCTGGTCAATCTGAGAGCAGGGCAGGACAATCCTGGATGAGATCTGACCACCAGCCTCTGTGCTGCCCACTGGTAGCGTGTCAGCAGAGCAAGCACAAGAGCTCTCTGCTTCAGCTGGTAAATTCCCACCTCTCATTTGGCAGCCCTGGGTTACAGAAGACCCTGCAGCCTTATGTGGCAATCCCTTCCCTATAGAAGCCAAGGAGCCATTTGGGGCTCTTCCAGGCAGGGAAATAGAGTTTACAGGGTGACCTTGTATGGCTCTGGGAGGTACAGAGCTGTGTAAATGCTCTCACAGCAAATGTGCCCACAAGGCTTGTTGCAAAAATAGCCTTTTAGTAGTTGTCATGGCAGATTCTCCTTGGCTGAAATACCACTTCTTAAAAACAGTTCTCTCAAGGCAAAGCTGTATATTCGCTTCAGGTCTATGTTATTTTTTGTTTTTTTCTATAACTTTCCCTCTTGTGATACATGGAAGGTCCAGTCAGGCAGTAGAAACCTGTCTGATTTCCTGTCTGTGCCCAGTGTTGATGTGCACAGCTGAAAAAGATGCTTTCATCTCATGCCTGCCAGTTTTGGTAAAAGGGAGCATATAGGGATGAACAGGATAAAGTGACTGCATATAGGGATGAACAGGATTAAGTGAGCTCTCCTTCAGCTGGGGCTGCTGTTTCAGTGTGTGGATACTTGGATATGCCTCTCTACCTGCTGTGGGATCTGTGTGGGAGCAGACCATGTGTGGTTATGGCTTGCAAGGCAAATTGTTCCCCTCTAAAAGGCAGAGGCAGTGGAGATGGGGAGACTCTTGTCTTTTCCTGATTATTATCTGCAGCATGTCTAACAAATTGCTGTTTTATAGCTGATTTCTCCTTGTCTAATGGTCAGATAAACCTAATATCTCGTTCTAATGAACTTCTTGCAGCTCTGATTAACAGGGGAACAGTGTAGAGACCTGTGCCAAATTAATTGCTTTCTCCTCTCTATTGCTCTTTCAAGTGCAAGGAAAGGATGAGACCAGTCAAAAAAGCACTGAAGCAGCTTGATAAGCCTGATAAAGGACTGACAGTTCAAGAACAGCTGGAGCACACACGCAACTGCCTCCTAAAAATTGGTGATCGCATCTCTGAGTGCCTTAAAGCCTACACTGACCAGGATCACATCAAGCTATGGAGAAGGTGAGGGATCATTTTGTTTTCCTTGGCTGGTCTAGGATATTTTGAAAAAACTCAGGCTGCTGAGTTTTATGTGAGTGAACGTGCCATTTGCCTGTTATTTAACCAGTGAAATCTTGTGTTCTCTAGCCCACTCAGTCCATAGAATTACAGAATTATGAAATGTTTTGGGTTGGGAGGGACCTTAAAGATTATCTAGTTCCAACCCCCCTGCCATGAGCAAGGACATCTTCCACTACACCAGGTTGATCAGAGCCCCATCCAACCTGACCTTGAACACTTCCAGGGATGATTTTCCATGGCCAGTCCCAGGTGAGGGTTTTTTCTGCACGTGTTGGTTTCATTTACCTGGATTTCAAAGGTAGTTTAGATAAACCAGAGCAAACCTCTTTATTTTACTTTGAGGAACTTGGTTCCAGCCCTCCTGATCATCCTGTCCTGTGCTGGGTTGAGACTGTTTTCCAGAGGAGGTCAAATTGATTTGATGTTGGTTTGGAAGCAGTTGGCAGTTAAACTGCTGATGTAGCAATTAACAGAAAACATTCATGTCCTTCTAGGAACCTATGGATATTTGTGTCAAAATTCACAGAATTTGACGCCAGAAAACTACACAAACTCTACAAGATGGCTCATAAGAAAAGATCACAGGAAGAGGAGGTGAGAGCTGAAGTGCCTTTCCTTTGATTTCTGTCTTTAAATGTTGCTGCACTTAAAGTGCCAATACTTTCTGCCTCTTACCGTGGGTGTTCTTAGTTGTTGTTGTCGGTGTGTGATTTTCTCAACATCTAAACAGTCTGGCTGCATTTGCCTTCTCTTTCATGTGGCATTTCTGGTCACTTTGTCCTGGCTGTTCTGACCAAGAAAAAGCATTGTTTGGTGTGGCATATGGTGTTGAGTTGCCCTTTAGAGTGAAAAGCTTGGCATGCTGCCCTGTAGAAATAAGTGTAGAAGCAGAGCTGCAAAACCGTGCCTGTCCTCTACCACGTTTGCACCGTGCTCGGGCACAGTTGGTTCACCAAGTCTTCAAAGAGGCAGAAAAATCCAGAGCCTGACAGACAAGGCCATTTCACACAGAGTCCAGATCTTTTGATGGAAGACCAGCTGAGCTGTATCCCTGTCTTCCACCTTGCAGGAGCAGAAAAAGAAGGAGGACACGTCCAGCATGAAGAAGCCGTTCCGCCCAGAGCCTTCAGGCTCCAGCCGCGATTCCGTGATGTCCCAGTCTCACGTGCCTCACAATCCTCATTCCCAGAAGATCCATATGCCCCCTTCCCACACCCAGCAGCAGATGCACGGGCACCCACGTGACAACTATGGCCACCCAAACAAGAGACACTTCAGCAACACAGGTTAGTGCTGGCAAGCCAGGAGAAACCACCCCTTCTAACCTAATGCTCCTGGACACTAATCCTTCTGGGAATTGTGACTGGTCACGTGTAAAGGTGATGGAATAGAACAAATATTGCCATTGTACTTCCTACTGGACTAGAAAACATAACGATGTAGTGAGGAAAAGAATATAAGAATGGGACAGAATAAGATTTGTCAGAATAATGATAAAGAAATTCAAAGAAGAAAATTGAGCCCATGTAGTTTAAGGAGGAGAAGGTTAAAGGGGTATCAGTAGTTACAATTTCTGTGAGAATTCAGCAAAGTAATGGGCTTAAACTAAAGTATGAAAGAGACTTACAGGTGCTCTTTCCTCATGGCAGACCGGGGAGACTGGCAGAGGGATCGAAAGTTCAACTATGGTGGCAACAGCAACCAGATGTGGGGTGGGGAGAGGCACCACCAATACGAGCAGCACTGGTACAAGGACCACCACTACGGGGACCGGCGGTCGCGGGGGGATCCCCACCGGAGCTCCGGGAACTACAGACCAAACAACCTCTCCCGCAAGAGGCCGTACGAGCAGTACAACAGCGACCGAGACCACAGGGGCCACCGAGACTATTATGACAGGTAATTAACTCCCTTCCACCTCAGGCAGGCTGGGAGGAGTTCGAAAGGATGCACCGTGTTGGCCAGGCTTGCCTTGGGAAACTGATCTCCATCCGTTTGTTTTCCCTCCGCAGGCACCACCACGAGTCCAAACGTCGACGATCCGATGACTTCAGGCCTCAGAACTACCACCAGCAGGATTTCCGACGGATGTCTGATCACAGGCCGCCCATGGGATACCATGGCCAAGGACCTTCGGACCACTACAGGTCCTTCCACACAGACAAACTGGGAGATTACAAACAGCCCCTCCCTCCATCTCACCCTGCAGTGTCGGACCCTCGCTCTCCCCCCTCTCAGAAATCCCCCCACGATTCCAAGTCACCTCTCGATCACAGGTCACCTCTGGATAGGTCATTGGAACAGAAAAACAATCCAGATTATAACTGGAACATTCGGAAAGCATAAAGAGACTGAGAGGGGAAAGCGCACGTCTGAAATACTTGGATTGGTGTGGCGGTGGCTGCTTTCTCCAAGCCAGCAACGAGAAATTCTGAACATGCTGCTATCATCTGGCTGGGTCAAGGAGGATTATGGGGGAGTGGGTGGAGGAAGATTTTCCCTAATTCTTGATTCTGGTTTGGATTCCCATTTCCTTTCCCCTTTTTTACCATTGAACTGTTCTATCATGGAACCAGCCTTGCTGCCTCGGTCTTTGTTTTGTTTTCCTCAGTCCAATGGACCCAAGGGAATTTTCCCCAGCCAGTGTTTCCTCAGAAGGAGAAGGCAGATCAGTGCTGCTTAGGATGGTGCAGAAGGCTGTGAGCCTGCTCCAACTTGATGTTATGTGACAGATGCTGCTTTGGGATTGAGGATAAACTGGTTGGGCTGGGATTTGTGTGTAACCAGCATGGGGCAATGGGAGGATGTATTCAAGGAGGGACAGGAAAGACCCTCAGCAGCCAACTTTGGTTGAAAGAGGGACTTGCTGTCCCTGCAGAGTGAGCTATGCTGGTGACAATCCATCACTTTCCTGGCCATGTTATCATTTCCATGTCTTTATCCATTTCAAGAAACTGGCTCTGCTTTGATTTCTGTTGTCCCCTGCAACAGGAGAGCTGGGGGTGATCTTCCTCCCATCTCCAGGGCTGGAACTGGCAAATCTTGACTCTGGGGAGGGTGGGAGTTGGG